GTTTACATACAGTGTCGGAGAGAAGGCCAATAGTGCGTCTTGAAGTCACGGTGTCTAGGAGAAGGCCGCAGTGCGTCTGTTAGACACGTCTATCGTGGATAAACGAAGGCCCAGAGCGCGTTTATTCACAACCCACCGAGAATAGATAAGAACACGATCCGTCATCACCCCACTCGCGTGCCCCCGTGCGCGCCCAGCTATCGCTGCCCAGGCCCCGCGCGTCCCAGCCACCGTCTGCGCTGCTGGTACTTGCGCGCTCCCCGCCACCTGTGCACGTCCCTTTCACGCCAGCCGCTCCCGTCTCGCCCGTGCGCCGATCGCTGATCCCTGTGGCCTGCTCGTTTCACGCTTCTTCCCTGCCAGCGGACCGCTCACCCGCGCGCCAATCGCGCCCCGGCGTTACGCCGCCGAATGCCAATGCGTCCCAGTCGACGTCCGCGACTCGCCCGCCAATCGAACTCCCGCGCACATCATCCTGCTCCGTCCAACCACGCGCATCATGGGCCGATTCGCGCCATTCGCCCATTGGCCGATCGCCATCGCCCTTCTCGTCGGCGATCGTCGTCGTTGGTTCGGGCCATGGATCCCAACCTTTCAGTCTCACACAATCATCCGCTGGTATCCACCAACCATTCTTTACCCATCGTAAACCCCGCCTTCTATCCTCCTTCCTTCGGGCTCGTCTCTTCCTGGTACAAGGCTTACACCAACAGCATGATTCCTTAGTCTTCGCCTTGCGTTTCCTTTGTGCTCGTTTGGTCTTGCGCTTCTTGATCTTCAATTTAGCCCGTGGACCACACCCTTTCGGCCAGTCTCTCTTGCATGATGGCCGGTAAATTGGACTTGTCGGCTCCTTCAGCATGTTTTCCAACCAAATATCGAGACCATCGTCCTCTTCCTCGTCGGACTCGCCGGGGTTGATGACCACTTCCGTATCAGCGCAGCGCCTCGCGGGTGATGCGGAAGTGGACCTCAACCCTACCAAGCCCGCGCACGGAACGCGTTTAGGCCAAGGAAGACAACGTCGCAAATGGACGCGCCATCGGAGGTATCGGGATGTTTATCGAAGGAGTGAAACCTAGTGGGGATGGCCAAAGCACCAGGTGGCTCGAAGAAATGGATGGCACGCGATTCGGGTGGCTAACATGTGCAGCGCACGCGCACGGGCGCGCTGATACGGAAGTAGGTTTTGACCCCCGATGATGAGAAAGGCCGAGGGCCGAGGCTAATGTACAAGGCCGAGCAAAGGGCGCAAACAAGGCTTGCATGGCCTAGGAGACGTGCACGA